CGTGCGCCGCGTAGTTGGGTACCGACAGGGGTTTTTTTTTTTAATGCTGCGGCGACCACCGAGATCTACAACCCCCCCCACCCCAAAGCCTCCAAACTGATTTCAACTCAAAATGGGGTCCGGGCTCCCGGCCGTCTGGACGTGGAGCCCAAAACACAAAGAAAGGAAAAGACCACTCAGGAAACCAACTACCTCCTCCTGGCTGGAGCCACTGGCTCTCCAGACGGGGGGCTGAAAAGGATGAATCCCCCCCCCCCCCCCCCCCCCAACTCCTCTGGTCACTGTGTCTGTCTGGACCCCCCCTCCCACTGTCTCTCCTCCCGCTCAGAGCAGGTCTTCCTGTCTTTGTACATAGTTTGTTTTTGGGAAAATGTCTGAATTTTGTAGAACTCTCGGTGCTTTTTGAATAAAATACTGGACCTGGGCTAAACGGCTGCCTCCTCTCTGCTTTAGCCGGGCCTCATCGCCCCGTTAGCTGCTGGATCGGGGGGGGGGGGGTGCAGACCTTTGCAGCTCTGCTGTTCTCAGGAGCACAGCGCCCTCCGAAGGCCGGAGAACGCAGTCACATCCCATCAGATCCCAAAGGATGATGGAAAACACACTAAATATGAGCTCTGCTGTCAGATTTAATAAGATTATTTAATATAATCCCAGATCTTTTTAGCTATCGGCGTGAAATTAGAAAATAGTCGGCAGCAAAAATGAGTTTTCGACTGATTCTGCAGCTTAAAGTTTCCTCAATCTGAGCTCCATAACTGACAAGGATACATTTGGCTTTTTTTTTATAGCTCTATTTAGGTAATTTTACCTTTATTTTTCTTCTATTTTGGTCATTTTTGCTCTATCTTAGCTTTTTTTGGTTGTATTTTGCTCACTTTTAGCTTGTTTTTGCCTTTTTGGTGTATATTTGGTCATTTTAGCTCTGTTTTTTCTCTATTCTGGTCATTTTAGCTCTATTTAGCTTTGTTTTGTTTATGTTTTTGCTCATTTTTACCTTGTTTTTTACCTTTTTGTTGTATGTTTGGTCATTTCAGCTATGTTTTTGCTCTATTTTGGTTATTTTAGCTCAATTTTCGCTCTTTTTTTGTTGAACTTTTGTCATTTTTAACTTTGTTTTCCTTTTTTGGTGTATCAAAAACCTTAAAGGATTATAGTATCCATCCCTCCATCAGAGCTGCTGGAGTTCAGTCCACTTCTGGTTCTTCTGGCAGAGCGACGCCTTTCCTCCTGTTTCTGCACAGATAACATCCACATGCTGCTTCCTGGTTTTCATCCAGTTTATAACCCACTGTGGGAACTCTGGGAGGTTCAGCTGCTCTTCAATAACTGACAGGA